TAAAAAAAAAAAAAAAAAAAAAGGCTGCAGAACGATGGTGAGTGGTGGCCAAGACCTTGTTGACATAAGAGGTAACACAGGAAATCAGTTGCTTGGCTTAATGAAAACCAGATCGGGCCAAAAAGATGATTAAAAATGAACATATGAGCGCTCAGCACAGCTCGTATGGTCCGCAACAGTAAAGAGTTCTGCACGGGAGCCTGTGGTGTGTCCCATCCCTCACACATCAACACTGCACACTAGTCAGAAGTACATTAGCTCATGTCTACTTTCAAGCGTAAATCAATAGTGCTCAGCCCTAAGGCAACTAAATACAGGGTGACGCTAAAAAAGCAGTTTGACGACAAGTTAAAAACTCTAAAACATTCGAACATTTCAAGATATCGAGCGGTTTTCATCTTTACACGGGCTCCACCGGCAGAGTGGGCCCTATGAAAGCGCAAAATCTGGCACCTTTGAATCGGTTAGTCCTGGCTATTTTACATCTTTTATTTATCTTACATCCTTCACTTACCTCAATAAGAACACCAACACAAGAAAAAACAAACATAAAGATCAAACTATCAGTACAACTTCTGTGGGTTCAGGCACATAAAGAGTGGAAAGGAGAGAGGGACTTCGATGAGTACAAAAGAGTCACATTTGGAGGCGGAGAAACATTCTGTGTGTAAATGCACTGGTTGGTGATGGACGGTTATCGAGGTGCTTCAATAGCTGTCGAGCGGAAAATTTGTACCGTTGTGATTCACAAACTGGAAACATAAGTAGCTGCGTAGTGAACGGCACCTTCCACACACAAGTTCTCTATGAGGACGCCGCTAAGAAGCAATAAGGCCTTGAACTGACGCTCTTTCCTAAATCTTTCCTTCAATCCTCTCACTTGACCATCGCCCTAGCGCTCAGAGATGAGGCATAAAGCTCTATTTACTACCTGCCAAAGCTCCTTCTGCTGCACAACACCCTTTCCCCTCCCCCGCCAACTCACAAGCTCTAAACGCAGCTGCCAAATTTGCAATATGCTCTTTTACTCATGTACCTCAGCTCAGCCACAGATGGGCGAACTCTCGTAAAAGATTCCTGTGTTGCTACATTTTTCAAAAATCTCAGGGCCGTCCTCGTGGCAAATAATCAATTCCGCATTGATCGCAGCGGTGCGTTGTCAGATGGCCGATGCCCTGGAAAGTGAAGCGATTGAAATGCAACGTAAGACAAATCACAGGAAGTCACCAGCTTGATGGAAGAACTAGATTCTTGGCAGCTGAGTAAACTGCAAGACTATTCAATTTCAAGCAACCTATCGTTTGGCCTATTTCAAACCAAAGTGAGTAAATAACAAAACTGGTTTTGGACCCATGCTCCGATAATTACTCCCAAACGTAAAAGAGAAAATGGGAAATAATGGACATCTTGCATGAAATGTATCCTCTTTTCTGAACTGTATTAATTCAGTTTAGTCTTGACCCCTCTATTAAAACAACAGTATAACAAACATCCAAAGGAGACACGGCAGGGAGAAGGTACATTATAAAAAAAACTAAATAATGCTTTAAAAAGTGCTCAAATAAGGAGTGTTTTCATTTTTTTCTCTTTTTTCATTATTTGTTGTTTTGTTTCTAGCAGTGTCCTCTAGGATCAGGGATTGGGGAAGAGGAAGAGGAGTGGGTGCATGAACAAGCAGCAGAGAAGGAAGTCAAAGATCGAGGCTAAAGGGCCGCCCGGTGCAGAAAGGGGGCGGGGCTCTCCCGGTGTCGTGATGTGGTTTCTCGACCCTTTTGCTCCCGTCGGCCATTTCCCCCTCAAATCTCCGTTTCCTCCTCAGCTGCCGAGGTTGGAGCTTTAACCCAGGCTGGCGATGTTGGACTTGCCACCTGGGGGCGCCAGGGTGCGCTGGGTGTTGCGGCGGGGAATGTTGTCGTCGATTTGAGCACCTGTGAGATCACATTGAACATTAGCCAGCCAATGACGTTTCATCTTTCTGGAGCTATTTCTATTATAGAAATATTATTGAAGCCTGATAAGCTAGTTACTGAAACTCAAATCATTTTATTCAACTTTAAAAATGCGTAAATGATAAGAGTGTGACGTGAGAAGGCCTCGGTGGGTTTGCCTCACTGACCAGATAGACTGAATCCAGACTGGTGCAGGTTGCGGACAGGCTGGTTGGGCTGCTTGGCAGGTGAGGTCTTGGCAGAGGAGGCAGGAGTCATGGTTTTAGGGGTGACCGACACCTCGCAGACCGGACCGTCATACAGTCCTCTGGGTACGCCCCTCAGCTCCGCCAGCTGCATGATGGGAAACAAGACACAGCGGTCATTGCTGTGGAAAGGAAATGTTCCATCATCCATTCCAAGACGGATACAAGCACATTTACGGCCAATCACTAACAAGCGGCGTCATCCCAACACTTCGCCACAAGGGAGCTATAAACATTTCTGGGTTTGCAGAACAACATTTGTTAAAATGACCCTTTAACAATCTGATTTTTTAACTGCAAATACATAAAGATACAAATTGTCCCTTCCTCCGCAAAAACACACAGGTAGGTCCACTAGCAGGAAGCAGACAGCACTGTACCCTGCTGCGAGCCTTTATCCTCTTGTAGACATAGTCAGGGAAAGGTTTACGGGCCACGAAGCGTCCCGAGCCCTCGGTGGTGTGGAGGTTCCCCTCCTCCAAGACGATCTTGCCCTGGCTGATCACCACCAGAGGCCCACCGCGCACCTCCATGCCTTCAAAGATGTTGTACTCCACAGTCTGTGGACGAGAACAGAACACATCCACAAATACATGTTACAAACACACGCACAGTCTACGCAGGTAACCTCAAAAACATTCCTCACTATCTCAGGTCACCCATGCTCAGGTCACATGATGAGTGAGAAATGTGATTATTGGTGACCTTTTCTTCCTCTGCTGCTGATATGGAAACTGACTCAAGTCCTATTTCATGCATCGTCATCGCTGGAAAGATAAATTATGTGTGTAAAGTCGTAGATTTGTGTTCAAACGGCTCCACTACAGAAAAATTCCATGAGTCTGTTTACACATGACAGATGTGTTGTCGGCACAATGGAGCGGTAACAGAGCTGGATAACTGCAGTGAGTCCATGATCCACAAAATCCACAATCTCTTTATCGAGATAGACGGCCGACAGCTCGGTTCCTTTGCTGCTACGTTCATCGATCAATACATTAAACCTCACAGACATAACTTCATAACAGTAAGTGATTCAACGTCTCCAGCTGAGCTTTCCGACCATGAGGATGACGTAACCTCCCTGTAATCTGCTGCTGCTGCTGCTGCTGCTTCAGGTCAAACATTTACGAGCATCTCACTCAGTCTGTATCTGAAAAATGTATTCATAAATATTTTATATGAGTGGCAGTGATGGACTGGACGTTCTGTGTTGACACATGATGCCCCCGTGTAAAATCGCCAGAATATTTATGGATTAAAATGCACTTGTGAAAGGAGCTTAACTGATTTAACTCGCACGGAGAGAGACAGAGGCTTCAGTTCTCAGGGAAACGCAGAGGAAGAAGTAGTGGGGTCGTTTTAGTAGTGTGTGTCTGTGTGTGTGTGTGTGTGTGTCGGTCGGGAGGTTGCTGTGTGACCAATTTGGAAGCTGGAACTGTTTCACCGCTCTCTCTTAGAGCTACTGGAGCTAAAGCTGAGGTCATGGCAATCTGGTGGACTCTGAAATTAGATCACCAGTAGGACACACACTCCAAATGAGCACTTTCTCCCATGAACATTGGTCCGTCATTTTCTTCCCAAGTGGAATATAATGAAACCAAAGAACATGTCAGGATCAGAACATACACAGCACAGTTGCTCCGTCTCTCTGGCACACACACACACGCGAACACACACACACGCCTGCTAACAATCAGAAATGATGTCTTCCAGTTCTCTGGCAAATTTTAGGGATGACCTCACTCCCTTGACGCTGTGTGAGGGCCCACACCCTGTTCAGCAGTCAGACGTAAAAGCAGAGTCGTCCCTTACATGAGGAAATAGTGGAATAATAAACCAGTTGCTCGATTACGTGAACTAAACTGTTACCTTTACCTTTTAACAGCATATTGTTTTTAATGTGAGGATGTGTTTCAGTCACATTAAAATAATAATTTCGTGCGGAGGTGTGAACGTTGTCGGTCTCCACCGTACCGAGTTGTGGCTCTTGGCCGAGATGATCTTTGTGACGTCTGGGTCCCATAGCACCAGATCAGCATCGGAGCCCACGGCGATGCGACCCTTGCGGGGGTACAGGTTGAAGATCTTGGCGGCGTTGGTGCTGGTCACCGCCACGAACTGGTTCTCATCCATCTTACCTGTCACCTGAAAGGAATCAGAGCTGAGGGTGAGAGGAGTACAGGAGTCACGGTCTGGGTTTCTCAATCATTCCAGCACAGAGTGGACTTCAGCGTTTCACCGATACATGATTTACATTTTACAAATCTTTGGGACTTTGGAGGAGTCGGGGATTGAATCAATGACCCTCTGGTTAGTGGCGGACCCGCGCTACCTCCTGAGCCGAGCCGCCTGTTTGTGAGGAAGTTAGTTCACCGGATAAACCAAACCACCACCGTATCCAGAAACTGATTTTCCATCAAATGTACTATATTATAATACATAGATTAATATTATGTCAACCCCAGCACACAATATAATTTTAAAAAAGGTATAAATACACTGTACGTACCACACACTTGTCCCAGATGACGGACATCCTCTCCTCAGTGCCATTGACGCCCTCGGGAATCAAGCTGAAGTCATCTTTGCCCACGGCACGCTGGGCGGTGTTGAAGGGACAGTGTGCACTTCCTGTCACCTGCAGGTCGCCGCTGCTCAGCAGGTGAGGTTCAAGGAGAACAGTGTTTACATCAAGAGGTTTTCCAGCGTACCTCCAGTGTCAGTGTTTGGATCGGGGTCTTACCAGGAGAGCAGGGAGTTGAGATAGTCTGGTGTGGTCGGGTCGGGGCTCAGGGGAGGGGAGGTGACGAAGGCGGCTGCTTTGGCCCAGTTCTTGCTCCAGTAGTGTGAACCGTCTGTTCCCAGGCTCGCAGTGATTGGCTCGCCGTAAACCACGGTGCCTGAAAGTTCGGTCCCATTTTAACACTCACACGTGAACACATGCTCCAACAACCGCCTGCGCTTGTTTGTGCCTGTTTTCTTTCTGTGTTGAGGATACTTTCCGTGTTAGCGTCTCACCTTTCTTCCTCGCCTGAGCGATGACATCAGCGGCGCTTTTGCTCATCACCTTGGTGACGTACAGGGGACAGTTGGTCTGATTGGCCACAGTCACAGAGCGGTTTACAGCCTCCGCCTCCACCTGAGAGAGAGACAAGTGGCATTAAAAACAGAAGTTGGAGTCCATCGCTTAACCGCCATCACCGTCACGTGACTCACGTGCTTTGTTGAATATAATAAATTCCCACTTTTATATGATCATGTGAAGGTATAAAACTTTATTTGATGAAATAACTGTTTCACTAAGGGGACGCTTTGACCTTGGCAGTGCTACTTATTGTGTGTTATGGTCTGTCCTCACACAACACTCACTTTATGTCTCACGATTCTGTCCGTGCAAAACATTTTAGGATCCTCATATCACTGCAACAACTGCACAAAAGCAAAACTAAGAGTTAAGTAATAAATAACAGTGAAGTTAAAGAGTAGATTAAAGCGTCACAAATACGTTTTCATATGTAGATGTTAACTGGATAAATCCATTTAAATGAAGTCCTTGATGCAGCACTTCTGGTCACTTGTAAAATAGGGAACGTGGCCCAAATATTTCAAAACAAATGTGGGACTTTTTTGGGGAACATGCAGTGCTCTCCGCAAAGTGTCATGTGGATTTGAACCTCAAGTGGACCATGTAATAAATGGAGAATTTGGCCCAGATAGCACAAAACTAATCTCTGGCACCTTGGGTTGAAATGCGGTATTGCAATGATTTACTTGTGGCCCAGATCTGGAAAACAGGAGTAGAATCTATTTTACTATGTGGGTAAAGTATCCTTAATCATTAAAAGTGCTTATTCATCTAAGGTGCACTCAAACGAACACGAGACAACATGTCCCTGTCCAGTTTTGCTGTTTAACCCTATTGTCTGTGTTTCCAACCGACTCTAAAGCAAAGAAAATGTTTTTTCCATCTGCAGCAACAAAAATAAGGTAAATCACTTAAGAGGAACTTGGCAACTTATTGTGACAAATGAAACAGGCGGATCGTGATTTGTCAGTGAACACCAGCGACGTGTTCCAAACACAGAGAAAACTGTGGATTCCTCCTGTCGTCTGTTTTCGATTAGTTCAGGGCGTCCATTTTCTCCGACTTTTGCCAGAGGGTCTTAATCAAGATCAATTCCATTATAAAACTCCTGCGTTGTGACGAGACGCTCCATATTCTCTGTGTGATGTTAGTAAAACCATGAAGGAAACTTTTAAATCCTCAGGTTTTCACCTCCTGTAATAAAATCCACAAAGGCCCGTTTCACAGTCCTGACACCCACCTCCTCGGGATGACTCAGCACGTGTCCTTCAGGCCCAGTGATCCCCTGCTCCAGAATCTTACACTGCTCCTAAAACACACACACACACACAAATGAGCGGGTTGTTGAGTCATGTGCAGGTACACACATGTTCTTCATGACCGGCAGTTAAAAAAAAAACGAAGCATGGCCATGAACTCCATCTTCCTCATCTGTGGGTTATTAAGAGCTCAGCATTGAACATGTCATCGAGACTGTGGAAAAAAACGATGTGTCACAGCTTTAACTCAGGTTTAATAAACCATAGAGACGCTGTCGGCCTTTGTGCTCCGCAGGGTTTAGGGTTTAATATTCCGACACGGAGCAGAGAATCGTTCCAAGTCTTTAAGGATTAAAGTGTCGTACCTCAGCGACGATGTCTCCATTCTCAGCGTGCACCTGAGCGATGGCTCCCAGGTCTCGGATCACGCTGAACACCTCGTACACCTGCGGCGAGGACACACAGTTATGATTTCAGATGCACAAATACAACGTTTTTCATCGTCTCGTGCCGTCGTCAGACACCTCGGCACTACATGACTGAGCTCTGGAGTGAAAGAGACAAACAGAATGAATATGAATGAGCTTTTTGTTTGAGTGATTACAGTCATTGATTATCTGGATAAATACTCGAGGATTAGAATCAGTTCTTTTCATGAGACATCATGAACGTTTTCTTCTTTTGACAAGAACAAAGTCAAAACATCTTGACTGTGTCTTCCTCTGGGGATAATTAAAGCCTCGTCTTTCATGCACATTCTGTCAAAAGTTTCACGGGTCTGTTATTGATAATGGACGCGCATTATGAAAATGTGGAGAAATCAGAAAGTGTTGGAGGTATTTCATTTGGATTTTTGACTGTAAAACACACTGGAAGAAAGAAAAACAGAAAATATGTCTCCTTTAATCCCAGGAAATGATCAGACACACGACAATAAAAATCTGAATGGCTCTTAAACTTGTGGTGAAATGAAACGTTCGTCCGCATTTTCAAAAAGCTATTGAAGCTCCCACACTCTGAAAACACGATGATTTCACCGACATGAAGGAGAACCGACTTATGGAGTGAGTCATCATCCGCCCCGCTGCCAAACGCGCAGCAATAAAGAGCCATCAACGTTTGACACGGGAGAGAAATGATAAACTCCGGCTGCAGCGGCCGGAGAGAATTCCTCACACAGGTGCGAGAGACCAGCACAGATCTGTTTGAAAACAGCTCTCAAGTGGGATTAATTGATTTCAACCGTGAGTCAGAGGAGACGTTCAGATGGAGACATCCGGTCTCCAGAGAGAAACACAGCGTGAGACGACGACCGAGACGGACAACAGCCGTTACTCACACTGACAACTGAGTGTCACACATGATGTCTGCTACCACTCACTGTTTCACTAGATTAAACAGATACCAACACAGATGTGGTGAAAGTTCACACATTAAAGTTTTTTTTTAAACACTGTTAGTGAGCTCAGAGTCTGGACGAAGGAACGAGTCGTGACTCAGATGGAAATGCAACGGTCTCATAATTAAACACTGATGACCGTGAGGACAGTTGCCGTTTGATTTATATGTTGCTGCAAGTTTCATGTTAACTGAGAATTGAATTAGAGTCAGTGGAGGAGAAGCTGCATCTCAACAAGAGCATGAACTTTAAACATCTTTTAAAGTTTTGTTGTACAAAGACTTGAGCCTGGTTCTGATTTTACTGATGACTGAAGTCATTTTAGTGTTTTATTTATCTAATTTAATAGTGTTTTAATCTTGCGTCATCTGTAACATATCTACTCTTCTATTTCTTCTATCTTCAAACTGCTTTCAATTGTTCTGTATAGTTTTCCTTCAATTCCATATTTTTACTTTGAAAAGTACTTTCTAACAGTCTTTTGAAAGATATAGTTTATCATCATCATCATTTCATAGAATGTATGATTTTATATTTGATTTTGATTCAATGGTTTTAAAAATTGTTCGTTTCCCCTGTTTTGTACGACAGAATGAAAGGACAGTGAGATGAGGAGAGGCTTCACCTGAGCGTCAGTGAGCTGGAAAACATCTTTATACGCCAGGTAGACCAGAAAAGAGTTGACACCTAAAAAATAAAAAGACGAAAAATGTTAAAACTACAAGGAAACAGTTCAGAGTCATTTATAGACATTTTCATTTTACTGAAGTTGTGATAAAAAGGCCGTGAACCACCACGACATTTCAGACTGGGCCTGCAGAACATGAACTTTCTTTTCCCCTGAAGTGAAACACTGTAAACACAATTTTTTTGCTCCACCCAATAATTGAAAACCTTGCTGATTGCTCATCTTTGTGTTGTGGGTGTGGTGAACATTGCAGCCTCCAGAGGTCACTAGAGGGTTTTTTGACTGATTTGCTGAAATGAAAGTGTGCCATGAGCGATTTTCTGCCAACAGGTTATATGACTTCTGGGACAGCAGCTGTTAAACATATTAAAAAGCATGAGGCTGTTAAAAGTGAGCGTTGGGTGTGGCCGCACCGTGATCCTTCACCAGCGCCTCCATCTCTTCCTGGATGCCCCGGTGCCACTCTGTGATGTCCACGTGCAGGGAGTAGTCGCAGCAGGACTTGCTGTCGGCCCATTCGCGCCACTGCTCGAAGGCGGAGAGGAGGCTGATGCCGGGCTCAGGTACGACGTGGTCAACTGGAAAAACAAGCACAGACCTTGTGATACCATGTGTTATCAAATCCACTGTGTCTACAGACTGAATGATTCAGTTGAGATCTGAAGCCCAGTTTGTCCGAAGTGAAGCGTATTGATCTTTGAAAAATAACCAGACACAATTCTCCTGGGCTCCGTTCAAACCGCGGCCTGCACTCGAAGCACAAACATCATCTGTTCATGGTTTCCACCAGCCAACACTCACGTATATCAGCTCAAGATGTTACATCTGCAGACGTCACTTTGTCTGCAGACGTTTTCAGACACTGTGACTGTCTCATATCTGCTGAAGCGCAGGATCCAGTTGATTAAATGATCCTTCAGTGCAGTAAAAGAATTCCCGAATCAGCCGAGTTGACCATGTATGTGTTCACATGCAAGGAATTTGACTCTGGTTTAATGTTAATGTCAGAGGATGAGGACAAAAAAAAACTAATAAGTTAAAAAATGACAGTGGTGAATGGTCCGGACTGTTCTGTGTGATTGATTGATAGATAGATAGATAGATAGATATAAAAAGAAAACATTTTCATTTTGAAAATATCTAATTGATCATTTGTTCAAAAGGCCAGCCAAAGTTTCTAAGAGCTACGATTGTCTACTTGGAAAATCATCTTGTCGTTTCAGTGCTAATTCATGTCATCCTCCTTCAGACGTGGTCACAAGTGTCTCATCAGATTTTAATTTACTCTGGATGATCATGAGGTTTATTCATTAGTTTTTTTTATCTGTAGTTTGAAATCTTCTCACGTCACGCTACAAACTGTCACTTTCCCCCTGTTTGGTGGTTTCAGACCTGTGTGCGACAGCCTGAGGCGGACGCCGCAGTCTGGGAGTGTTTGTTCTGCTGTGACTGAGGGAACGCAGCAGCTGAGTCAGAGGGAGGAACCTGTGTGACAATTACAGGGGAGATTTTTCATTAAGCTTTGTTTTCTCGTCACGTCAGGACTAGTCCTCAAACAGCCACGCCTCTGTCAAGATAAGGATGTCAGAGCGTGAGGTTTCCTCCCCCCAATATTAAAAAACATTTCTGTCGGCACTGTGGAGGAGGACGCTCCGCAGACGTCAGGGTCAGGGAGGACTCAGAGTTTAATATGAATCACCGACAGCAGGACCCCCATGGTCGGTGACTTACTGATCATGGTGGTGCCTCCGGCGAGCGCGGCCTTGGTCCCCTGGTAGAAGTCGTCCGCAGACGTCATGCCTCGATCCGGCATCTGGAAACGCGTGTGCACGTCGATGCCGCCCGGCATTAACATGCGTCCGTGGGCGTCGATGGTTTTTACACCGCCGGGCACGATGAGGTTTTCCCCAATTTGTCTGAGAAAAAGAATTAATTCATTATACAAAGAAGAAAAAGGAGAGAATAAAACTTTGGTCTGGATCTGGATCAGAGGACAGTTTCAGGAACAATTCATGGATCTTTATGAAAGAAATCAGACATATTCAGAGGACTAATATTTCTGAGTGTGTGTTGGCAGAGGTACGCGCTCTACTGAGTAATATCCAGTTCATCTTTGTACCAAGAGATGCACGGACAGATTCTAACTTTGGAAACATGTCAGCTGCTTGAATTGACTCACTTGATGACTCCATCCTCCATGTAGATGTCAGCGCAGAACGACTGGTCATCGTTCACGATCTTCGCTCCTTTGATGAGGAGACGGTCACTCTGGAAGAAACAATAAAGATGATTAGTCGCTGCACGTGCAAATAACCACATGCGATCAGGTCGTCGTGAAAAGCTCGAGAGAAGCTGCGGGAACCAGAGGCTGCGGGTCTGAACACAAACACACCGCTCTGGGTTTTTTGTACATGTCTGTAAAAATAAGCTCATGAGGGCGAGGATCCAATTTGGCTCGACTGGATGAGGGATTAAGTGTTTCTGGGTAATGTCACATGAATGAGTTTACCCAACAAAATACAAATAATCCAAACCTGTTTAATCTACAGAGCGGTCGCTGTCTGGCCTTTTTAGGATTCACTCAGATAAGAAACACACAGCTGTGAAGATTCTGGATTTCTTCCTAAGCACACACACACACACACACTTCAAACACACTGTTAGCACTGTGATGTTTGGATCAGTGTGTGGATGTGATGCACAAAGATAGAGGAGGAAGATAGAGGAGGAGTGGAAACATCCCAAAACAGACAAATACGAGGATCATTAAAGCAAAGAGGAGGAGTTCAATAACAAGACAGGAAAGAAGTTAAGTAGAAACTGGATTTAATTTGAGGAGAATCTGGAATAAAAACACACAGAGTGCTTTCAGACAGAGATGAAAAGTGTGTGTGTTTCAGGCGTCTATAAAACTGAGCTTCTTTAATTCTAACTACCACTTTGATATCTGAGGATAACTCAGGGCACTTCAAAAAAGTTTACAAAAGTTCGTTGTTTTCGTCTTTTAATTCAAAAAAGCAGGACGATCTAAAAACAAAACTGCTCTTTGAGTCTCTACAGTGTTTTTCGGTTTTGTCAGTAGCAGCAGTTCGGTAATGAAATTCTTCAGCAGCTATTAGAATGTAAATAACCGTGACCTGAGACATAATGAGAAGCACTCAGCACAATAAAGAACAGACCACCCCCCCAAATCTACATGTGTGTGAGCTGTTGTAGTAACAGAAACAAGAACGGACCAATCAGAGCACAGACTGTGGAATCAATCATCGATGTCACCTCCCACTGAGCCCCTCAACCCCCGTCCCTCCCTCGTGTCACCCCCGCAGCTCGGGCCCTCTGTCCAAAAAGGGAGTGGCAGCTCTGGTCACAGGGACTCCAGCATCCCCGGCTAACAAAGGCTGCTCTGTTTGAGCCTCTGTGGCTGTAGCTGCCCGACCGAGCGCCCGCCCGCCCGGCCAGCAGCTCAGGGCCCCCGAGCACTACTGCCGCTCTTCAAAGCCCCAGCCAGTCAGTCGGAGCCCCGCCCTGGATCATGCACAAAACTCTGCACTGCAGGACGCAGCACCGTGAAATTTCATTTGCAAGCGTCCCTTGTTTCAATAACCAGGGGGCTGAATTTTTACTGCGGCACAATGAGGAGCAGGTGGAATTCGTTTCGGTTCATGATGACAGTTCATACTCAGCAAGTAGGGAAACAAATGACATCGCTTTCAGTCTCTGTTTATCCCGACAAGTGTTTTTATTTGTTTCATTCACATTGCAGTTTGTGCCGCTGCCTCTGAAGCCGCAAACTTCTTTGAACCTTTTTTTGAAGGAAATGTGAATAAAAGAATCAAAGTTTGATTCCACAAACTCAGGATTTGTCAGGTGACGGTGGAGAATTATGGTCAAAGATCAGAAAAATGTCTATGATCTATTTCAAAATCTCATCTCCTATTTAACTTCTTTTGTTTGCACGAAGGAGACAATCCTGCACACACTTGAGGACCTCATCCGACTGCAGCTGCTCCGGAAAATGTCGTGCAGCTGTCATTTGAAAGGTGTGGCGATGCTCTGTCAGCGCTCATGGAACTCCAGCTAATAGATTGTGTGGTAATCTTCGATCTATGTGGTGCAGACTGCTCTGGTGCAGCTTCGCTCCAGGCCGCTGCTGGCCCGTGTTACATCATCAGGACCGTCATTATCACATTACGCCGTCCGAGTTCGCCAGCAGCTCTCGAGTCAACAGTCACATAAATTCAGAGTCATATGAGCCAAGACTTTGTGTTTGATCCCTAAAAAGAGGCGGATCAGTTAAAAAGTTTCAGTTTCTCTGTTGAATCTGCAAAACACTTTAAAAAACAACGACTTGCCCGGAATCCAGTCTAATCATCTAATTGTTGTGGAGCTCACAGGAGGTGGAAAGTGTGTCTGATTGTTCTGGATCATGGCCAAACATGACGGTGACCTTTTCATCATGGGAGCCTCTCACAGCCTCACAAACAGGATGTGGACCAAGCTCAATGGGTTCACTGTTGCTATAGAGCTGTGTTTTCATTCCACAGCACAAAACATGAGCGTGCTAATGTATATGCAGAGGAACGATGGGTGGTGAGTAGAAAGTAAGACGCCACTGTCTTCAAACAATTAGTGGATCCATGGATCCTTCGCCGATTATTGTGCGGAGAGAAAAACAACTTTCCTTCACCCTAATTATCGACCTACATTATCTACGTCTTCTTAAACAAAACATCCTGGTCCAGGGGGAAACCCGACAAGGGCGGATGTAGAGGAATTGCAGCTGAGTGACGACACAGAATGAGAAAAAAAGATTCTACAACTTCGAGAACAAAGTTGTGACATAACGAGAAAACGTTATACACCATAAAGTCCTAATTTCTAAGTGTCAGACTGTTCTTAGAGTTATTTTTTATCCCTATGAACCTAATACTCAAACATCAAAGTGTTTTCTGAGGGGAACTTTGATGCTAGCAACTTAAATCTTGGCGAAATAGCTTTGTTGTTTATGATACAGTTGGGTAAAGGTTAAAGAATAATGTTCTAATCCTTCAAACTGATAGCGTACACCAAGCAAACACCAATCTAATCAAATCCAGCCCATCCACCAGCACAAAATGGCGGCACCTGTATCCAAGAAACTTTGGCTTCACTTCTGCACAAGACACGTCGTCCATCTTTAAATACACGTACAGCCAATCGGATCAATCTGTTGTATCACATGACTCTTGTAAGCTCTCGGTATTAACAGCACGTACAAACAAAGCCACAGACCAACAAGTGCAAAATAAATCGCAGCACCAAAGAAAAGAAGACGTCTGCTGACTGAGACGTTTTGTGAAATTAGAAAAAAAAGAAGAAAAATCAGCTCAGGCGCAATGAAAACATCTGCAAGTGTTAGACGTATCCCGGCAACGCAACGTGTTGTTGTCCAAATGGAAAGTATCCTGGCAACATCTGTGAAGTCAGGTGGAGAACGGTGCCAGGTCCGACCCTCAGCACTGTGATTTATGGGAGTTCTGGATTATTCGAAAACCCTCCCGCTTATTAAAATAAAGAGCTTACACGTTCAGACACATGCTCACTTCAAAATAACAGACAACAACAGGGATTAAACAGGTTCCCAAAGAGAAGATTTACAAGTTGGCTGGAAAAATACAGAACAATAAAACCGAGGTTCAAAACACCAGAGAAATTCAAAATTCAACCATTCAACAATGGAAAATAATTAACTCAAAACTCACTTCAATCAACTGTCTGTTTGCTACAACTGAAAAATTCTGTCCTTGACTTTTGAAATTCACAGCAATACTTTGTATATTTCACTCTTCTTACTGGATCCGCTTAAGTTCTACATATGTTTGAATATTTTAACTTAAACTCTGACTATGAGGAAACAAGTCTGACTTCGACTTTGATAATAAATCACTTGTATTCTCTCTCTTACTTTTGAATACCAATTTAAATTCTGACCTCTGTCTGTCGAGGACATAGTGAAGAGGGAGGCACCGCGGTCCTACTTTATCTATATTTATATACACATGAATGTCATATTTATTATCAAATAAAAACTTTCTGTACCCACACACACAGCATGTGTCTCTGCAGTCATGAATGGGGTAAATGAACTGTGTGTGAACAAGGTTGAAGCGGTGGGCGGGTGATTTGGACACAAGCCCGCTGTGTGTGATGTGAGAACAGACATCGCCCCGAGCTGATGTGCACTGATAACAGCATGAACACACTGAAGTGACCTTAACTGTAACACACACACACACACACACACACACCAGGTTTACTAACACACTCTGATGATCTCTCATCCTTTGAGGACATGGAGTCACTGAGACTTTAATCCAGTCTTATTATAGACTCTGTCTATTTATAACTCTCCACTATCTTTGTACACTGAGTGTTGTTTACTAGTGAAGACACTGTTTCACTGACGGAGACAAACTTACTTGGCAACAATACTGATGATAATCCATTTATCAATATCTGTCAAGCAAACCAGTCGAACTGGTTCCAGCTTCTCACAGGTGAGGATTTAATTTTGCTTTTTACCATCTTATTTAGTCAAACCATCAGGCCAGAAAATTATATTGAATTTATAATTTACCTATTGCATTCAATTTGCAATGATATTAAACAAGTAAAAATGTGGGAAAAGGAAGAATAAGAGAATGTTTGACTGTTTTACTTGAGAAATGGGTTAAATGACTAATCAGCGAACACAAACATAGACAGAGTAAAGAAATAATTAAGTAAATGTCTCAGGACTAATACTGGAAACTGAATATTTGGGGGTTTTGGACCATTGCTGAGGGATTAACACTGGGATTAAAAGAGTTGAGCTGTTTTTTATTTTATTAACATTATAATCGAATCATAATAAATCATTTCTTGCAGGCGCTGCTCCCTCACTTCTTTGAACTCTGCCGGGGTTTCACTGTATGAATCAGAGATTTTATGAGTCACAGAGATGATCTGTTGCCAGGTGGTGGATTTGCGGAGTTTCATTCATATTTGATGAGCGCTGGCTTCAGTACCTCTCTGCCTGTGCAGCTGACCCACCTCCATGTGGCCAAGACGGACCAGTTGGCCCATCTCCATGCTGAGTGCAGGTTGATTCATTCCCCTTTATATTCAGTCTACTTAAACTTATTAAACTTCCAATTTGATTGAGGGACAGACATCATTTCTTGGTCAGTGTTTCTCCTGTTTTATTCAATTTAAGCCGATTCATTTCCTCTCCAGCTTTGTTGG